CCTTGGAAAAGACAGGATTGTAGAACTCAACACCTCACAGCTTAGAATTTGGTTTTCTCAGGAAGAAGGTAAAGCTGCTTCGTGGTGCGGATACCTTTCACTGCTCCACTTTGGCAAGAGATTCGCTCTTTCTAGAATTGCTTAAGAAGCGATCTGTTAACAAAATTTCCAATTCTCAAAGATGTTCCTAACAAAAAATTCAATATCGAAGCACGTTTTACGCTTCGAGCGCTTTTGTACGGAACATTCTTCAACCGTAAGATTCATCTCGATTTGGGAGTGTTCAGGGCGATATTGATTTTCTCTTGTATTCGTAGATATGTAAACAAACCCAGCGTGTTAATCAGACTTTTGCAAAGCTCACTCGGTCTGCTTCGATAATTCAAGTTTCACCATTACATTCTGCTTCAAACGACGAAACATTTTGCTCGATTATTCTTCCACCAGCCGACCTGTCAGTTCGTAAAAAAACAATAAAAATGACAAGTTCCGGCCATTATGGCTACTTATATAATCTTTGTGGCGCGAGTGGCAATACATGGGCACTGAATCAGTTGCTTTAAAAGCTTTTGATGGTTTCCTCTTTCTTACCCGGTTTCAGAAACGCTTCTTGGTTATGTCATATTATGGATATGCGAGTGCGCACGTGGACGTATGTGTCCCTTTCTTCTCCAGATACTTCACTGGGAGTGACCCGAATTTTTATAAGTAACTGAAAATTTCTTGTGCAAATCTATGTTCCTAACTATAATTCTGCATTGCGGTTATTTGACTCTTGGTTCTTCTGACGCTTGGCCCTCATCGATGCCTTGTAATGCTAGAACAGTGGCAAAAAATTTATACTTTAGGAAATGTGACTTCTAAACGTAGCACAATTGTATTTAAGTTCAAAATGGCAGCAACTTACAGCTTATTATCAAAATCAGAAAGTGAGGAGAGAAGCGCTGAGGGCTAAATTTCGGGGGGAAACAAAACTTGATTCCTAAAAAATGAAGTTCTTTTGACTCAACAGAGCATTTTTTTTGTTTGGTCCAGCTTCCCGAGATATACTTCCAGTTTTTCATGATGCTCCTTAGCTGACTGTATTCCCACTTAGAATTAAGCCCTTGCTCCACTGATATAATTTCTTCCATTTTTTAGCATCATCTGAACGCAAAAATCCACAACACACTTTTCTTTTAACATTAAAACCAACAAAATCGTCTGTTACAA